TGCCAGTCTAGGAAAATCTATTATGTTGCTCTCCCATGACAGGACCACTTCTTTAGTACTCGTACCCCTACTCTGCACCAAAGCACTGAAACACAGAGGGAATCCCTTGTCCATCCCAGTCCATGTCAGAGAAGAGAAACGAATCCAGGTTCCAAGGCCCTGCTTTCTCTTTGGGACAGCACTAAAAAACCTTGAGTCATCCCACATGCCCACTCAAAATCCATTGTGTTCCTTACAGCAAGTACCTCTTATGTTCCAACTTGTGCCCGTTGCCCCTCGTCCTCTCACTGGGAACCACTGAAAAGAGTCTGGCTCCCTCCTCCTTCAACCCTCCCTTGAGATACTTGTAGGCATTGATAAGGTCTCCCCTCAGCCTTCTCTTCTCCAGACTAAAGAGTCCCAGCTCTGGCTTCCTCACACACACTACCCTTAATGTTACGTTAACTCCTATAAACACCCGAGCTCTCAGCCCCACAGCCCTTTCCCAATCTGCCACTTGGCAAAAACTGCTTTTCCTTAAACCTGGGTCACATGTTGAGGTTTTTTACACTTTGCTCACAGATACCAAGATTCAGTTGACAAACTGGTTTTGCCTGTGACATTTGCCCAGCATAACTATCTTGAGAAGAGCCCAGCACCAACCTCTCTACATCCCACATGCCCACTCAAAATCCACCATGTTCCTTACAGCAAGTAGAGCCCAGAGGTCTGCAAAACCAACATCTCCCTTGGGGGCTACCTCAGTACGATTCTCAGAACTGAAGAGATTTATTTTTTTTTAGAGACTAGATGGCCTTTGGAGGTCCCTTCTGGCCTGGGCAATTCTATGATTCTATGATTCTAAGTAGAGCCCAGAGGTCTGTAAAACCAACATCTCCCTTGGGGGCTATATGAGGTGCTCATCTCCCCGGCCAACAGCCGTGGGCTCGGGGGTGAGAGGCGTTTCCCCCAGCCCGGAGCAGGCAGCATGACCCAGCTCTGGGGCTTTCACAAACTCGGCGTAAACACCAGCGCAGGAAGAACAAATGCAAACCACATTTTCTGCAGAACTTTTCCCCAACCGAAGGGACCTGGGTTCCTAGCCCTGGGAAAACAGCTGAAAACAAGAGGCACGGCCGCCAAACCCAAGGGTCTAAGAGTCAGCTTTGAAGAAACAAAGGGTGGGAACATTCGTTTTAATATGGGAATTGATCCGGGGGAGAAAGCCAGCAAGCAAGAGAGCAGAGAGACAGGCAAAAAGGAAATTTACTTTGGACCTGATCCTACAAACTTAACGCAAGCGAGAGCTTTGTGGACGCTGCTCCTCACCTTGGCTGCTCAAAGGTCCACCCACAGCCACCGACGGACAGGCAGCCCTTGTTATCCACAGCTCTTGGGCTGCGAGGATGAGGGTGAGGGTGAAGGCAGGTCACCTTAAGCTGGAGAGAGAGGGGAGCAGTATCCCGCACCCCTGCTCCTCCCAAAGCCTCACCACCACTCTAACGTGGGGCTCTGGTTCTCGGGGGAAAACCAAGCATCTGAGCTTCCCTTGTTCTGCAACACAAACCTGGCTGCTCAGCCCAAATCTACCGGGTGGTGACCGGGCTCCAACCTGCAATCCCAGAGACAGGAAAGCTGCCTGGAAGGACAGCAGGGCCGCAGACCACATCCTCCCACAGGCTGGCTGTCCCTGCCTGCTGTCAGGCCCGGAGGAAGCCAACAGGACCACGCATCGCCCACACTGGCCACGGCCGGGCTCTGGCTGCACCACGTCGGGCAGCGAGGCCGGGGGAATCCTGCCAGCACCGCCGGTGGCCCCGGCAGCCTCCAAACCACTACCAGGTGGCTTCCAACAAGAACAGCCTGAGCTGGATTTGAACCGGTGCCCGAGCACGGAAAGCTCCAAGTTTCATCCTCAGCCCCCTCGAAAATTTTCATAGAATCATAGAATCATACAATCATAGAATTGCTCAGGCCGGAAGGGACCTCCAAAGGCCATCTAGTCCGACCCCCCCGCAGTCAGCAGGGACACCCCCAACTAGACCAGGTTGCCCAGGGCCTCGTCGAGCCTCTCCTTGAATATCTCCAGGGAAGGGGCCTCAACCACCTCCCTGGGCAACCTGTTCCAGTGCTCCACCACCCTCACAGTAAAGAACCCTCTCCTCATCTCCAGTCTAAATCTGTTCCCCTCCAGCTTGAAGCCATTTCCCCTCGTCCTGTCACTGCAGGCCTTTCTAAATAGGTTCTCCCCAGCCTTCCTGTAGGCTCCCTTCAGGTACTGGAAGGCCGCTATTAGGTCTCCCCGGAGCCTCCTCTTCTCCAGGCTGAACAACCCCAGCTCCCTCAGCCTATCCTCTGTTTCATCTCCCAGGATCTATGTAGAGAAAGGAGAGGAGTCTGTTCGTCGAGTCCCTTCGTTAGTGAATTTTCTCTGCTGCTCAGAGAGAAAAACACTGGTGTCTCTCCTGTATGGTGCCTTCTCCTATGCAAGCACGGACCAGAGAACGCTGCTCCTGCTGGCAAGACCTCCCGGCCTTACACTCACATCAACAAACAGGATGACAAGCCACAGCATTACCCCTTCCCTTCAGCACACAACAAGGCCAAAATTAAGGACAAAACGTTACACCACACACAAGGCAGGGCTGACAGACAGCTCGGGAGCCCTCCCAGCCCCACACCGTGCTGTCCCTCTTCCACATCCCTGCTGGATCCGCTCAGCAGCGAGCTGTGAAGTTGACACCAGTGCCACCAGGACAGCCAGATGCTGGGACAGCCCCGGGGGCCACAGCTGCCTGCCGGGAAGCCAGGACATGAGGGATTCCCACAGGATCCCAGCCAAGGTTCAGGCTGGGTGCTGCACTCTCCCATTCAAATAACCAGGGTCTAGTCCTGATCTTTGCTGAGGTAAGATCAAAGTCACCCCAGCCACCCCTGGCAAATCCGTTAATTGGGACATGCTGTGGTTTCCACCACAATCTAGTACTGTTGGAAAAACAGAGTGGGAACTGCCTCATCCCCTCTGTACCTCCCCTCCTTTCCCCAGAGCTGGCCTGCTGCCCACCCTACTGCTCATCACTCCAGATTTCCAGGACTCAGGGAGGTAGGAGGGGCTTTATATGCATTTAAACAACAACCTTGCATCCTTCCTCCCCATCCATCCTTCCCTTTTCCCCTGCTCCTCTGGATGTTTCCCAATCTCCTCCCCGTTCAGCTGGTTTTCCCATCAGTAGCCCAGCCTTGCTCTTGCTCTTATTTATCTTCACAGCAAGATGCTCATGATTTCAGGCAGCCCAATAAACCTCTTCCTGTCCCCAGGAACGTCCCTGGGCTCTCCCCATCCAAGGGGGACCCCCAAGGCATCTAAAGGAAGAACCTGCCAACTTTCTGAACCAAATTTCACTGAACTGATCTGAGCATTAAAGCTCCTGTTGGTTTCCTTCTCCATACAGAAGCAGAGGGGTGTTCACTCGTGTCAACGCTGAAATGCAGTAGATAAGCAGGCTAGGAATGTCCAGTGGCTATCACAGCCACCTCCTCGCCTTTGGGATCTCTCGGAGGAGGAAAAAACAGTGTGTAAGGAAGGAGAGGAACAATGGGGGATACCCCGTCCCACCCATATGAACCCAAACCAGGAGAAATCCCAGGTGTCAGCGGAAGAGAGGGAGACACAGAGAGAAAACGCAGAGCGGCGCTGGCATTTCGGGGCGCCCATTTTAGCTGCAGCAGGAAGGTCAGAGCCAGAACAGACAACTCCAACACAATGAGCTGCCGGAGCTAAATATAACCCCGTCGAGGGCATGGACACAGGAGTTTGTTTTTACAGTGACCCGCCAGACGATCAACATCGTGCCACGTCCCTGCTCAAAATAATTCACGGCTTTATCACTGCTGACAGTCTTTGTATTTTATCAGAGAGGCAGAGCCCATGCTTATACCCATTTGCCAGTCTAAGTCAGTGGAAATGATTAACTAAGAATGAGAAATACCCAAAATTTTCCATTTCTGTTCTGCCAGTCTAGGAAAATCTATTATGTTGCTCTCCCATGACAGGACCACTTCTTTAGGGAGCCATTTCACTGAATTTTAGAGTTGGAAGGGACCATAGAGATCATCTAGTCCAACTCCCCTGCTGAAGCAGGATTGCCTAGAGCTAGAGCATGTTACTCAGGAGCATCCAGGCGGGTCTTGAAAATCTCCAAGGAAGGGGACTCCACACCCTCCCTGGGCAGCCTGTTCCAGGGCTCTGTCACCCTCACCGTGAAGAAGTTTCTCCTCATATTTGAGTGGAACCTCTTATGTTCCAACTTGTGCCCGTTGCCCCTCGTCCTCTCACTGGGAACCACTGAAAAGAGTCTGGCTCCCTCCTCCTTCAACCCTCCCTTGAGATACTTGTAGGCATTGATAAGGTCTCCCCTCAGCCTTCTCTTCTCCAGACTAAAGAGTCCCAGCTCTGGCTTCCTCACACACACTACCCTTAATGTTACGTTAACTCCTATAAACACCCGAGCTCTCAGCCCCACAGCCCTTTCCCAATCTGCCACTTGGCAAAAACTGCTTTTCCTTAAACCTGGGTCACATGTTGAGGTTTTTTACACTTTGCTCACAGATACCAAGATTCAGTTGACAAACTGGTTTTGCCTGTGACATTTGCCCAGCATAACTATCTCAGTACGATTCTCAGAACTGAAGAGATTTATTTTTTTTTAGAGGAAGGGGGAACTCCTGTGGAATTAAAAACCTGAGGTGTTAAAAGCAAGGAAAAGAGAATGTGCAAGAACAAAATGAAGTTAGAGCTAAAATATGCTTCAACCCCAATGAATGGAAGGAAAAGCACCCCAGCTAGAATTCAGGATGCTATTTTTAAGTACAGTGGTAGGGAAAAAGAAACCCGTGGTGCCATGCCAGTAACACATTTGTTATTTGGTGCCCAGGGAAACACTCAAATGATTCGCAAGGCTGGTATTTAACTCGGTATCTCTTGCTGGGCTTATGTTAAAGCAGAGAAATCAAATCCTTACTCTCGAGCATGTACTTCTTGGCAATGGGCAGAGAGAGCAGCCGGATGTGACCGATGAGGGAGCCCCAGGCGTGGGCTCTGGAGAGCGGAGCTTCGGGCGGCAGCGGGCTGTACGGCTGGATCACGAAGTAAACAGTCAGCAGGACCAACCCCAGAGTGAGCAGGCCCTGTGAGAGAGAACAGGCACGTAATTAATGATACTGTGGTGAGCTGGTGTGTCTTCAGAACAGGACACACCTTCTGGCTGGTATCAAAGGGTTGTGGCTGCGTGCTCCAAGAGGAGCACTCACATTTTTGCTGTGGCTCCTTGTTTAATGCTATTTACGTCCACGGAGCTGTCAGCTTTAGGGCTGTCCAAGGACAAAAATCAAGCAGCCTCCAAACCTAAGCCCCACAATTCTGTTCTTGTATCTTAGCACTGCAAATAATCTAGCGCCAGAGCAATGAGGATCATCTACAGATACTTCCGATTCCTCCCACCTAACCAAATAAAAGCTTGCACTTCTGCCATACCTCTTACACAAGGTTTTCAAGGCTTTTTTGCAAACATCCGTCAAGCCTTGACACACTTTGGCAGAGTTGGCACCAGCTCCCTCCTCCATACCAGAATCCCAAAAAAGCCTTAAAGAGATGACATGACGCATTTCTCCCCCCTGGCCAAAGTCAAAGTGAATCAACAGCAAAAACAAGAACACAACCCGAAAGTTCAAGCTTCCAGTTTCCTGTTCTCCTGCCTCATTTTACAGCTTTTTATAGGATGTGAGGAAGAAAGCTTGATTTTTTTTTTTTTCTAAATAGAAACCATCCTGATGATTTTGTACAGATGACACTAAAATATTACTCAATATGATGCCAGCTGGAAGTTTTTCATCCTTGTAGCAAACATCTCAAACCTGCCTAACAAGAGCATCCTTTCACCCACTTTGCAAAACTTTTTACAGCTTCTTTTAGTTAAGGGTCCCAAAGCATTTTTCTAGCATCAAGCATCATGGCAGAAGGTTTATTAGATTAGAAGGAGAATAAAGACAGGTAAGAAGCTTATGACAGGCTTAGAAACAGAACCTCTATCTCTTCATTATTCAACCCTGAACTTTAATCTCTTTCCTTCCTCACATTTCCACTGAGGGTGCTGACACTGGGAATCTTTGCCTGAAGAATCAATCCAAGTCTCATTCTTTAATAACTTAAGGAGAGGAAGGTGTTGACATGTTAAACTTTCAATGCACATGAGTCATTTCAAATCTTGGTCAGCTGTCTTCTGTTTTCAAACCAGCTCATGGGACAAAGGAAGGAAGCTACACTTCACAGCTTTTTAAATAAAGAACTCAGAAAGAAAAATGCAATGGGAAATAAAAGGCTCAGGTGCAAAAGGAGAACTCTCACCCTCAAAACAGCCTGTCCACGCCCAAAAAAGACACCTTACCTTGTAGAGAGCTGCTAAGAGAGGGTACCGTGGAGGTCCCCTTTGGGGTTCGTTTCTTTCCAAGAGCTGCTTGATGAATTTCTCGATGGCTTGTTCTGACATCCCACACTGATGGCCAGTCTGCCTCACGAGATCAATCGTCTCCGACAGCTTGTCATAGATGCTGAGCTCGTTGGCCGAAAGCTCCATGGCCTCTGATGAATAATCCCTGTGGAGAGATTCAGGATGTTAACAGAAAACACAGCTCAACGCCAGCATGTGCAGAGAGATCACAGGAACGTCGCTCTGTCCAGGCAAGAAGGAAGGTTTCTTTGAAGCAAACCTGTTCGCAGCCAAAGGCGCAACATTTAGCTGCAGTCCTAATAGTCTTGGCTGGTTCAATATCTCCCAGGGATTGAAAGAAGCCGTGAAATTTCCTGACAAGAGAAGAACCGGCTGAGATTCACAGCTTATGTAAATGAACAAAGCTTCCCAGAAATCAATGAAACTCCATTTATTCATCTATTCCAAATGAATCCGTCCCATAAAGCGATTGCTCACCAGGTACAAGAGCCAGCAATACAAAGCTGATCATCACACACACAGTAGCCAAGCTAAGCTCTTGCTGCACTATAATTTTAGGCACTTATTTTAACGTAGATTTGTTTTCATTAAATCTCCTGTCAGCAACAAGCAGAGGACAGAGAAACAAGCAGAATGTGCGGGGCAAAGTTCAACAGTTTACAATTTGTTCAAATTTTCGCAACCTGATGTCCAGGCCAACTGATTATTGAGTAACAGGAACGTGATAGCAGTGTGGTCTGCAAGCAACAAAAGGTCCTAGTTCCCCCTCAAAGTTTGCCTGCAGGTCATTCGTACGGCAGAAATACCACGTAACTAAACACCGCAGCAAGAATTGCATTGTGAATGCAAAATGGAGACAAAATGGCATTTAACAGCAAATTTTTTCCCAGGAAAGCTTGTAACAACACACCTATAAGTGATCAACGTTAAGATGCTAAAATAAATAAATAAAGAACTGTGTTCCTCTACCACTCCCCCTGTCTGCCACAAAGGCAGAGCCTCGCGATAGCAAGAGCAGCAGATGGGCTGAAAAAAAGATGCAAAGAGAAATTGCTGGACAAGCTAATAGCTGCCAACACGAGAATCTTATTGTTAAAAGAGGCATTTAGCCTCGGAAAAAAAACACTGCTGGGGAAAAGGGAGCATCTGTGAGGTCTTGCTTTGCTGCTTCTTTCTGAGCTGTGAAAACTCCAACCTGGATCAAACTGGGACAAACTGAAATTCTTTCTGGGGAGACACAGTTTAGCAATGCATTACCCTGAAAGCACAGCCTGAGCATCATCACGTAAAAACACCCAGCTCACAGCTGAAAATGGAAATCCTCTCCCCCTTTTGCTCCAAGTACCCCCTGACACCAGCAACCAGCTCATGAATCTTGTTAGGCAACCAAACTTGAAATCTGATTTGCCTTTAAAGAGCTGGCCAACAGCTCTCCCCCTAAACCATGGCTCCTACAAGTCAGAACTCAAGCAATGGCAATTTCAATATCTTGTTTTTCTGCAATGCTAGGGTGTAGTTTCAGCAAAACCTCACTTTTCAACAGGGCTACCAGCTTCTCTCCTCTGCAAGATCAACTGCCTGTTCCGCTCTTGCACATTTGTTTATGTGGTCACATGGTGAATCAGATCAGGAAAATTATCTGGCTGAAAAATAACCCCTATTTGTTTGGTCAGCAGCTGCCTAAGCATCCAACTCAAGCAGTTAATGTCAGATGTTATATTAACATTAGTGTCAGATTTCTAGCCGCAGCCTTAGAAACACCAAAATAATAAAATGCCAAATTAAAACCTAACCCCAAGCACGCAATGAGAACATGCTGCACTATATTGCCAGGTTAATTAGCTCCTGGCCCTGTTCTACTGACATTCCTTGCGTTCCGTGCAAATATTTGTCCCAGATCTTACCACCTGAGCAGCCCCATGGGCTAGCAAATCTGCCCCAAACCAGGTTTGATCAATAATATCTCATTACGGATCGTAAGCTCTCCAAGGTAGGGACCTTTTCTTCTCACCTGTAAAGCACCTGGCACGCACTTGGCTCTATAAAAACAATACATTACTTTACAAACTCTTTCATTTATGTAATACCCTGATTCATGTAACAAGCAAAGGCCAGCACATCTGAAG